TGTTCCTCCGTAGGCCCTAGCTCCATCTCGTCATCCTCCTTAGACCCAGGCTCCAATGGGGCCATGACGCTCAACCTTATTTCTTATGTTTTTAAAAGCTTTAATAAGAAAAGATTTTTTTTAAAAAAACCAGAACTTTAATTCTTGCGGCAAAATGTTCTGCATCGGTTGTTCAATTTCACAGTTGTGGATATAGTGAATGATGTTGTATTGCCCCATTAATTTCTATGTGATTTCATCTATTTTTATATATTTTGACTTAGCAGGTTATGGTAAAAGAAACCAACTGTATTAATAGAATCTTTGTTCTCTTTGATAGTGCATTGTTCTTGGATAATGTTATCTCGGTGGGGATCAGGGTCTGCGTTTTATTCCAGTTAAAAATTCAGGAAATGTTTCTAGTTTTGAGCAGCAGCAAAGATTTAAACGAAGTCAGTGTTTCATCTATATCCCCAGTATATACATTCCTGGTTTGTATTAAATGTACTGCAAATATAATTCAGCCCAGTCACCGAGTTTTACAAATGAAGTTGAAAAGATTGTAAAACACAAAGGCTGATGTGAATTTTGTAGGAAATATAAGCTTTTTTAAAAAATTCTGTGGTAGCACAGAGTATCAGGGAAAAGAAGATTGGCATCTCTGCTTCCACCTAAGTGTAAGTGCCTGATTTCCACAATTAGAGATTAATTGAGGCATTTGTGAAAGACAAAAATAAAGCTTCATTGTAATTTATTAAGAAAATAGTAGGATTGCATATATTTGCCTGTAGTCTTGGTTACAGTTTTCACTTAGTTTTGTGTATTCCAGGGCCATGATGTGCTCATTTTGAAGACATTCACTTTTACATCTATATTGTGTTATTGTTCATTATGCCTGGTAACATTCAAAGTTGAGTATACATCCATGATGACGAACCTATGGCATGCGTGCCAGAGGTAGCATGCTAGCCCTCTCTGTGGGCACGCACGCTGTCACCCACTGCTCTTTTGGCTTCTAGCATGCACATGAGTGCCAGGCAGCTGGTCTTCATAGGCACCAGAGCACTAGGAAACATCCAGAAAAACATCCAAAAAACAAGCTGTTTCTGGAGTGTTTTGGGGCCATTTTCAAGCTGTTTTAGGACTGAAAATGGTCTGAAAAATGGCCAAAACACAGCCCCCCAAATGGTCAAAAAGCAGGCATGTGCGCGCTGGCCAGCTGGTCTTTGGTTTCCGGTGATCCGACGCGCACAAAGATCAGCTGGCTGGAGCTGGGCACTCAGTCCGAAAAGGTTTGCCATCACTGGTATATATACTGCTCTCCCACCACATGGCTCTAGTCTTAAAAGTGATCACAAACATCAGTTAGCTCACAGTCCCAATGCAAGACTTCTAAATAGATCTCAGTGCACGGAGCATACAACCCTGGCAGTATGCAACTTATGTTAATTACTGATTTGTTTCCAGTTCGAAGTCAGAGTATTAGTTTGACCTTTAAGAACTCTAAACAATGCAAGGCTGGGCTATATTAAGGACGGTCTGGTTTCACACGTGCATGGCCTTCCCCTCTGGTCAGCATTTATTCATTTAATTATGAAATTTATTTTCCACCCATCTCGTATGCAATGATTCTGGGCAGCTTACAAACATTAAAGCATTGAAAACATTAAAAACATCAATAATAGAAACATAGCCAATAAAATCATTAGCGAATAAAATCATTAACACCAGATGGCAAAGGAGGGATGCCTTTTTTAAAGGCCTCTTCTGCTGTTCTTTACCTACAGAAGTGAGAATGTTGGATATATAAAATGTTACTCATTAATTTGGTGTCCTGACTATGGAAAGTTGGTCCAGTTACTGCTTGCCTTAATAATGCCCAGTGAAAATATGGGGCAAGTAAATATTGGGTATTTAATGGAGTTTTTATTTTGAAATAATTTACTTTTCATGCTTCTCTTAATACATTTTAATAACTAATTTATATTGCTGTAATATTATGTTATAAATTTCTGGACTGTACAGAGGATATTACAATGTTTTGTAAATAAATTTATTATGTAATTATATCATAGAATATGATTCTTAAAAGACAAAATATATAAAGCCTACTGAAAAAGCATAATTGATTATTTGTGTAATTTTGGAGCTAACTAAAGTTAGGTGGGTCTTATATTTTAAAGATATAAGTAAGAATATTTATGGCTCTAAAATAGGGAATTTTAAGGGAATTGTAAGGAAATACTTTAGGAAAGAAATTTGTTCATATCAATATCAGTGTGAATATATCTAATGTCAACCTGTCAGGGTAATATATAAATCAAGGTGCAATTGCACTTTGAGATTCACAAATTTTAAAGAGTGTATTTGTGTGTGTGTGTGTGTGTGTGTGTGTGTGTGTGTGTGTGTGTAAGAGAGAAGAGAGTATTAGATTATTTTATGACTCCTTTATTACTTATAACTAATTCAAGGTGACAAAGATACATACTGCTCATTCCTCCTATTTTCCCAACAACCGCAAACCTTGTGAAGTAGGCTGGGCACCCAGTCCAACGTTTATGCCTAAAATGGGACTAGAACTCACAGTCTCCTGATTCCTAGGCCAGCACCTTAATTGCTACACCAAAAATTATTCAGTATATTATTATTATTATTATTATTATTATTATTATTATTATTATTATTATTATTATTATAGAAATCTGTTTCTTAAAATGGAGCAAAAATAAATTAACACTAGAAAAACAGACACGTTTTGCTATTTCTTAATGTCAGCAGTTGTAATTCCATATAGGTAGTTCTCAACTTACGACTATTCATTTAACAACCATTTGAAGTTATGATGGCACTGCGATATTGTTGAAGCGTTTCCTTAATGTAAGTTTCCCCAAGTTTAATATGCTCTTGATATCAGAAAGCAGAAAAATATTATTACGGCATACATTTAGCGAGTTGAAGAAAAACAATTTTAATATATAGTATAAAGTTTTAGAAATCACTGAGATGTCCAGAAATGTTGTTTTGAAATTTTCAGTTACATGACCAAACCTAAAGAATGTAACATTTATGTAGAATGAACTCTGCTTCCTAAGTGTTATATGTTTGATTACTTCACTTGCTTATTCAAGCAAAGAGCATGTTGATGAATTCTAATTTCAAGTGCATTTAAGAAGAATTGTATTTAATTCTCCCTCTTAATATTTTCTTAACTTTTTATTTTCTTAGTGCCAGAACCTATTAAGACCAGTTTAAGCCAGCCCCAACCTGCCGGTACCAGTACCAGTACTTCCACCAGCACTATTACCAACAATAATAATGGCAAGCGTGCATCTGCCAATGGGCAGCAGCCAGCTGCATCCCGATACCTGCCTCGTGAGGTGCCTCCACGCTTCCGCCAACAAGAACAGAAGCAGCTCTTAAAAAGAGGCCAGCCTCTGCCTGCTGGAACTCTGATCAGCACAAGCCCAGCGCAAAGTACTGGACAAGTAGGAACAAGTCCTCCTCCACAACCAGGAGTAGGTGGACATCACCACCCCAGTAAGACCCAGATCCCCACAGGTGAGTGATAAGGTTGAAAGAAATGTGTTATAGGCATGACAATTGTTTAGGTGCTCAGCTAAATAGTTAATATTTACCTCAGAGTGGTTTGGTTTCTGATTTAAAACACCATGGTCATGTAGAAAGGAAGACACATTGTTCTCTGTTACAGAATCAGTTTCACTTGGAAAGTATAGGTGAACAATACAGAGACAAGACCTGAATGAAGTAATGTTGGTAGCTTACTAAACAGGAGATTCATTGGAATCCTTTGTTGATTATGGGCCACTTTTGGCCATAATCTAACTAGGGGATTTTCTGTGTAGGTCTTTGAGTTAGACTCTATAGAAGAGGCAGAAATAAAACCAAAGTTGAAACCATTATTAGAGTAGACTATAAAAGCATTGTTTTGAGTGTTTTGAATGCAAAGCAGAGCTCCCATGTTCATAGAGATTCATTTTGTGCTTGAAATCAAAATTTGACTGTTCAGTGAAACATGCATGATACACATACATGCATGTTTGTGTATATAGTTATATCCATGACTTACTGTTTGAGAAGTGCTACTGTAGCTCATGTAGACTTCATAAGTTGTCAGTCCACTTATATGGATACACACAAAAGCAGGAATGCTAGGAATATAGACTTAATTCTGAATTATTTGTATAGTGCTGTCTTAATATATTTTTTTCAAAACTGAATGGTTTTACATCCAGATGTTTGAATATTGCTAATGCTTGCAAATTGGCTTCTCAAAATCTGACTGTAAAGTTATTAGCTATTTAAAGTAAGCCATGGTTTTTGCAATTGTTGCTTTAAGAAATGTCAGACCATGAGTTGGCAATCATGCATACTCTAAATGTATTATGAGATATTGTAGCAGGATGAACTGCTCCTGTGAGAGTTAATGGGCTTTAGTCCAACTTGGGTCATAGATGAGTGGAATTACTTGTGGATCTCAGAGTATATTTCTTCCTAAGAATAGCTTGAGAAAATGAGAGCTGAAAAGTCTGCTGAAATTGATCGAGCAATGTTAAATGCAAGACTTATTTGAAGTAAGTAAGTGAAAGGAGAAAGCATCTTCTGTCATATGAAACAGCACTCAGATGATAAAAAAATCAGGCACTTAATTCAATAAATAGAGGGAGACCTGTAGTATTGCCATGCTTTTAAATTTAGTTTTTAGGCTGTACTTTAGGCTGTACGTTCCGTTTTAAAAGTTACTGGAGACAAGAATACTATGGATGCCAAAATTAAATTATGGGATTTGCAACTACAAAATGAAGCTGTTGACTTTGAAAGGCTCTAATAGAGACTTAGGCAAGATCTTAAGAATGTTGGACAATTATAAAGAATTGGTTAACCTTGATTCCTAATAGAATTGTCCTGTTCATAATATTGTATCTTTCATTATTGGTTACTAGCAAATAATATTAAGGAAACGTTATTTCCTTTATGTTGCTTTAAGACTTTGAATTGGCATTTAGTTGAACTTTGTGTAGAATTATAATAGATTCAATAGACTTGTGTCTGATTTAAAGGACTGTTCTTACAATCATGAATTATAGCATCTTGGCCTAAGAAGTTGGCTGTTCTGCCAAAAAAGCACTCAAAACAACTAACAGAAAAGGGTTAAAGTGATTTGGAAGTGGTGCTTACAGTTTTGTCCTCTGTCATCATTTATATTGGACTGAATCTTCACACTTACACAATATGTTGTCCGGTTCAGAAGAACACCAAGCCATATTGTAGTTTCATTTGTTTGGGGATTGTTTGCTTGGGGCTTAATATAAAATGCGACTAAGAATATGTAGTTACTCATTATGGTTTTCCATTATGTACAAATAAGGCTACTATGATTTATTCAACAAAACATGTGTTTAAACATTTTAAACTAAAAAATGTCTAAAAATGAGTTTATGTATACACTCATTCCCTTTTTGACTGCACTTCCTTGCTAATTTGCCATAGGCACTTAGATGAATTCTTAAGTGCTAATAAGCATTTGCAAGTGCAAGGGAAAATCTTCCTCCTCTTTTTTCCTCTCTCCAAGAGGGAAAGATTACATACAATATTCCAGTCTTTATTATAATTTATGTTTTTAAACCATTTTTCAAGTTCTTTGATTTTATATCTAAACTTCCTTATTTTCCCGGTATTGTTCATTTGTTTCCTGGCTAGGCTAAGCAACCTATGTTGAATGTCATTTTTTATTGTATTCTTAACATTAATTTTATTTTTTTCCCCTTTGAGCTTGACAACTGTGCTACATTGTGGTTTTACTGTGAATGGAATATTTAGCAAGACAGTGTCAAATATATCATTTATAACTGTAAAGTTAAACAGTTTTTTTAACTGTTGTTGCAGCCTTATATCATATGCTTTTTATTAACCATTTTCCTCATAGATTTATGATCACCATGGAACCCAAAATTTATGTTGCTAAGCAAGACAGTTGTTAAATGAATTGTGCCCCATAAAACAAGCTTTTTGGCATAGTTTTTAAATGAATCACTGTAGTTTTTAAGTGAATCACATTGTTAAGTGAATCCATTGTTTCCCATTGACTTTGTCAAAAGCAAGCTGGCAAGGATACAAATGGAGATTACATAAACCTGGGATAGTGCTGTCATAAATATGTGCTAGTTATCAAATGCCTGAATTTTCATCACATAAACATGGGGATGCTACAGTGGTTGTAAGTGTGAAAACTGGCCATAATCACTTTTTTCAGTGCCATTGTAACTTCACGGTCACTAAGTGAATGATTGTAAGACAAGGACTACCTGGTACATATAATAAGGTTCATCTTTGTTATTGAGTAATTTTAAAATAGTAGTTCAATTATCACCATATATCCATGATGGTTATCATGGATATATGGCATGTGGATCTATATTTGCTGGCACGCGAGCTGTCAGGAAATATGTCAGGTGGCACGCGGATTCATGTTTGCTGGCACGCGAGCTGTCAGTTCCAGCACAAATGCGCGCGCTGGCCATTTGATTTTCAGCCTTCCACAGGGCAGAGGGAGGCTGTTTTCTCCCTCCCTAGGTTCAGGAAAGCCTCTGGAGCCTTGGGAGGGAAATAAATGGGCCCAACTGACCAACCAGAAGTTTGGAAATGATCCATTTCCAGCCTCCAGGGGGCTGCGGGAGGTCATTTTCACCCTCCCCAGGCTTCAGGAAAGTCTCCGGAGCCTGGGGAAAATGAAAACCCCCAAGCGGGGGAGTTGCACGTGCGTGTGCTGGGGATCATGCCGCATGCACTGTGGGTCACATGAGCATGCACAGGTGGGCGGGGCGCATTGCATTGTGGGTGTGGGCATGTGTGTTATCGCACATGCACACACAATTTTGGCACACCTTTACGTGAAGGTTCGTCATCAATGCCATAAATTATATATTTTTATTTAATTTATTAAACTCTTAACAGTTCAAAATAGGTTACTTTATTGTCAGTAAACCATAGCTTTATTAGATGCAAATATAAATCTGTCATCTGGATTCTGAATTGGATTCTAAACCAGATAAGACTTAATTTTAAAACCAAATGATCTTGATATCTTGGTGGTATTAAAGAGTTACATGTCTTTATGATGAAATCAATTTTTGGCAGAGAGCCTCACAAAGATTTGTAAGTGCTGATGCTTCTGAAATTTAAATATGTAAGTGGAGAAGGAAAGAGAAAGCTAGAACGGGATGTACACTTAAATAAAAAGAGGACAGAGGAAAGAGGCAGTGCTGGTGATCTTTTATTTTTCCAGTAAATAATTAAACGGCATGAATAATACAATAATTTAGGTACAACATACATCTTATGTATGATTGTGGGTGGCTGACACTTAAAACAGGATTTTAAAAAAAGAATAAAACTCAACTAATATATTATAAACATAAATAATCAAAAACAGCAACTGTGAAACTCACAGTGTTCCACAATCGATATAATCAAGAAATGGGTACACTCACACTGAGGGTCCCAGACATTACAGAAGAAACAACATTTTAATGTCTTGCAAATAGCCAATAGGGTTTTGGCAAATCTGATCTTGGGAGAAGTGATGTTTCAAACTGCCAGAGCTGTGGCAGAAAATGTTTTTCTTGGGTCCCACTAGATGGCACTGTTTTGCAGATGGGATCCAGAATATTCCTGTCCTCCTGAATGTAACAGGATGGGTAGCCACTACAGATTTTTTTTAAAGGGCAAGTACATACTACTGGGGAGCAGAGATATTACAGGGGCTGAATGAACAGCACATAACTCCCCATGCCACCATATTTGATACCAGCTGAAGCTTCCAAATACTCTTCAAGGACAGCCCCATATAGAGTAGTCGTTGAATTAAGAGTGACTGTGGGACGGACTCCCTGGTCTAGAAATGGACACGAATGACACAACGTGAAGCTGTGCAAAGGTCCTTCTGGCCACAGCTGCCACATGGTCTTTAAGCAGGAACCACAAGTCGAAGAGGAGTTCTCCCCCGAAACCTGTTAATACATAAAACAGATGTGCATTTATTTTTAATAAATGAAATGTGCATTTGTGTACATTATGATTAATAATCATGACATTATGCCATATATATTCATTCTTTAGGTACAGTACCCAAAATAGTTTAAATATGAATCGTGTGTGGTCAGCTTTCAAGACAACTTAGCTGTGCTTCATTGAATGCATTCAGATTGTTACGAATGTTACTTTGCATATTATGCCAATGTATTATAGATATGAAAATACAAAGAAGCCAGATATTCAGATCACATCATGTCTATATTAAGATCTCATCAACTGGAGCTCTTCAGATGTGATGGAATTGCAAGGAATTCTGGGACCCCATAATATCTGGAGGGCATTAGCCTTAGAAGGCTAGTCTGAACATTTAACTGAGACTATAAAGTTCAGCTGAGTTCAACTTCTTTAGAATGATTGTGTCTGTAACTGTAATAGTATTTTATCCCAGACACATTTAAACAGAAAATGTCTGATATCCCTTAGAATGCAGTTTAATTGCCAATTCA